AGTGGATCTAGATATATGACCGGGTAAGTACGATGTGCATAGCGGGAGTCATATTGTTCACCTCCCAGCTCATTTCTTGGATTACGACTACCAAACATGCAATGAGAAATTATACTGAAGAAAGGAGACTGACAGCAACATACAATTCGGCGCAGATATAGCGACCTGCATACACGCAGCCAATGCAATAGGCCCTAGCGGACAATGGGGTGCGAGAGCAACGTCATATGTCTCTGTCATTGATGCGATACGATGTAATTCGCTGATTCCTCCACAGTGCGACACCTGCAGCATATTCAGCAACAGAAAAGGCAGAGCGCGGAATGGGGGAAGCGGACATCTGGTTGCGCGATGTCTATCGCGCGTCTTTCTAGGTACGGTCTGAAATCCGAACGGGTGTAGAGACGTTCGCCGAGCGCAATGGGTGTTGATACGCTGCGTGATAGATCGGCGATTTCTTCGGGTTGGGTTGGGAGGAGTGGTTCTGCGGTGGTGTTTAGTATTTAAGTGTAACTGAAGACTGTATTCCTACACGAACTGACCTTCGATAAACAGAGGCTGATGTGGTTCAAGAAGCTTCGCCAGTTGCTTGGCCATGCCTTTATGTAGCCTTCCATGGAAATCAACTCCCACATCCAGCCCTAAAGCACGAACTTCCTTTACTCTCATTACGGCGTCTTCTAGGACTGTCGGCGAATCAATCCATGCCACGGCCTCTAGAGCATCAACACCTTGCTCAGTTTCGTCTTCACAGGCAGTGATTGAAAACGTACCGGTTCCATTCATCTTAACCGCATTGAACCCCTGTTTCTTTCGTGTCTCAGCAGCAGCTACCACATCTGATGGACTATCTCCACCAATCCACCCATACACTCTAATACGGTCCCTTACTTTGCCTCCGAGCAACTGCCAGACTGGCACTCCGAGTTTCTTTCCTTTGATGTCCCAGAGTGCGATATCAAGTCCGGATAACGCGCTCTATCCGTCTCATCAGACTGGCGGAAGAGGGTACAGGTGGGAGAGGTATTTACCATCAAGACAGGACCCCCGCGATAGAACCTCCCCCTATACGCGGTCTGCCATATATCCTGGATATTATCGGCGTCCCAGCCGACGAAACGCTCGATGAGGTCGTGGTATGCACCTTCGATGGCTTCGGTGTGTCCTTCCAAGGTGCCTTCACCCCAGCCTATGATACCATCGGACGTTTCGACGCGGACGAACACCCAGCGTGGTGGGACACGGAAGACCTGGGTGGTGGTGAGTTAATTTGTCGAGCACTAAGGAGAACGGGTTAGATGTGCACCTCGATTTTATATATGAGACTGGTCTTTCGAGACGACATGGATGTTCCGTGGGGTATTTTAGATCCATTCTTCTTGGAGGCCTGTTTATCACTGGCAATCTAGGCTTCCCAACCGTCAGGTGCGTTGGAATGTGAGTTTACGGGCCGGAGATGGAGTTGAGCAAGCTGTAGTTCGTTTCGCGCCGTTCTGTCACCATGTCGTAGCTAGAAGTCGTAATTATAGCATTTGAGATGTTATATTCGTTTACAGGCCATGAATTCCAGACGAGTGTAATTTGCATTGAGGGCTGTTGAAGTGAAGCTGATATGTTGTCAGATGATTGGGGAAAGAAAGAGACGCGGCCACACGGTTTCCCAAAACGTCCACGTTGCACAAAACAGGTTTGCTCACAACGCCGACGGCACTCAAGTCCAACTCTCCTCTCCCCGAATTCACGACGTCCTCACGACCTTCTGCTGCGGAATCGCTCTGCTTACGTTCTACACTCTGTGTCTTTTATCCAGTCGCAGGGCTGTAGACTTAATCCAACTCCGCGGGCACCATTTCTCCGTAATTCCACCATGTCCCGGTCACTAATATCTTCGATACTCCTCACATTTGCCCTCATCCTCCTCACACCGCTATCCACATATGCCATCAAATTCAACCTTCAAGCATACCGCTATCCCCCCGCCAAATGCATCTGGAATGCCGCCCATCCTAACTCACTGGTCATCGTGACAGCAAACGTCGGACCAGGGGAGAATCAGCGCGTCGACATTGAGATTATCGATTCCAGTCCGAAGAAGAACGTGTATCTGAGCAAGAAGGGGATCAAAGCGGAATCAAGGCTGGCTATTACGGCACATAGTGAGGGAGAAGTCGGCGTGTGCTTTAGGAATTGGGTCGAGGGCGGTACAGCATTTGCCCGTTCTGTCTTGTTTGACACTGACTGAAATTGTCTGTAGACGTGTCTCAAGACAAGATGTCGAAAATGAGCCGAGTAATCGATCTGGACGTCGACATTGGTGCAGATGCCGTTGACTACAAGTACGTGCACCTTTGCCATCCTACATGTGCACCTAACACATGCATACCTTTCCCAATAGCGCTATTGCCAACCAAGAATCACTCTCGGGTCTCGAAACGGAGATGCGCAAGCTCGAAGGAGTCGTTAAAGAGATAGTAGATGAGATGAACTACCTCAAAAAGCGCGAAGAGCGGTTCAGCAGCACGAACGGTAGGTCTCTCTTCCTTCCTCTCCCGCTCTCCTTAACTCTCAACGTAACACCTCCCATTCTAACTCCTACTCTTCACAGTATCCACGAACCAACGCGTCCAAAACTTCGCCTGGTTCACGCTCATCGCGCTCACCGGCCTCGGCGCATGGCAAATCCTCCACCTGCGCTCATTCTTCAAGCGCAAATACCTTATCGATTGATTTGGGTGTTGGTTTTTCAACATTTTTTTTATGTGTATCGTAGCTTCTGAAATTCCTTTTCATCTGACTGGTGCTGTGTCGCTTGAGTGAGACGTAATTGCTAATTTCCAGCAAGTAGTGGATTTGCTTGTTTGTGTGGGTGAGGGAGCCTTTGACTATTTTAACTCGTGTTTAAAGATCTAGATATCACTTGCAAACCGTTGGGTGGAAGTGTCAGTCTAGGTGTGTTGCTTCATCTTTGGGTACGCTATTCAGACTAACGTACAAATTCTTACCTCTAGGTATTCGAGCCTTTGGTACTGACAAAGGTAACACGCATGACTCGGCGCCATTGCAAATAACATTCTTATGAGAGCTGCCGGGAGTACCACCACGCTGATATGAAACTCCTTGTCGGTACTGAGCTCGTTGAATCTAAACCTTAACACTAAACGTTAAAGCGCCACCTTGAAGACAATCTATGCTGCTTTTTACTGGATTGTACTACCGCCCAGACCGGTCTGGACTACGAGCTATCGATATACGCCAATCTACCTCATCGCACTTTAGAGCGAGTGTTTCCCCTCTAAATTTGTTTCAGGAATTGAGGTGAGTCCTATGCTAAATATAACATGCTACTGAAAATTATTATAGCCTAGCGCGTGCTGAGAAAATGATCCCACATTGCGTAGAACTGCTCATGAAATCCGCATTCGAAGCACGGTTGGGCTACTAAGGTTCCTCACACTGCGCGGTACATTCTTTTATTTATCAATCAAACTTCTTAGGCTCATCTCTGCCCATCGAGTACACTCACGGAGTCGTGTCCTCTATGCTCAGCCGAAGATTGATGATTAGACAACGCGGCCTAGCGGAACACTATCGCCTTTCATTTGAATGAAGCGCATGCATTGGTAGGTGTTACAGCCTAGTGGTGCAAAGTGCTAGCGTACCCCTCCAATGTCGGTCGAGAATCGGCTCTAATCTATAACTAATGTTCGAAACATAGCCAGGTTGCGACTTATTTTTGCAGACATCTTCACCTTGGAATGATACGTAAAAGGTAAAATCCAAGGTGAGTATTGGTTTGTAAATATAAAACGCTGCTGCCAAATAATAGAGTCTGGTAGCACAAGTGTCAAGTGTATCTCTAGCAAATGGCTCATATACTTCTAGAGAACATCCGTGTTCGAACATGGCCGGCCTCCATCTTCTGTATATTGGTGACATCTTTTTACGAACCAACTAAACTCCTGAACGTAAGCAAATCAATATGCAAACCATAATCCACGAATAATCTGATATTCTCTCCGTATAATTTCATCAGATTCAAGCGATCGAAATGCATTGCGAGATAAATATAAAACCTTAATGAAGGGTATTATCGCCTTGATAACGCAAGTGTCTAGTGCATTTCTAAGAAGTGCTCCCATACTGTGAAGAACCACCTGGGTGGATCCATGTTCGAAACATGGTCAGGCTGTACCTACATTGTCTGCTTTTTGAAACTCGTTCATAATATGTTTTACTTCAACGCTTCAAGCCAAGTATATACCACAGTGTACCAGTTTATTTCTTCCATTAGCAAGAGCTTCGGCAACAAATACATGAAGAGGCGAGTGTTCTCGTTGTATAAAATAGATTCTTTATTAAGAACTAGTACAGCCTGGCGCAAGTAGCTAGCAACTCTCCTCCATGAGACAATATACAGATAAATGTGAGCCGCATGTTTGAAACCCAGCTTGGCATCCGAAAACTGGGGTCAGCCTTAAAGATTTTGCATTTTCGAACATTTTGAGCACGAGTAGCAATGCATAGCATGGATAGCACAGCAACTAGTCTTCTAGCAGATGTTTTAAAAAGAAGTTATTATGCAAGCACGCTTATAGATGCTAACAGCCTGATAGCACAAAACGTTAGTGCGTCTCTGCTTATGTGGGAGATCATTCCTTACGTGGTTATACAGGGAAGGCCTGTGTTCGAATCACAGCCAGGCTTTCGGGATGTACAGTATAAATTACCGACTGGTCAGTGGTAGCGCGTCTCATGTCGGTCGAAATTGAATTTATTGCCGCGATTAAAGCTACGGGATGAATCCGTGTTCGAATCCTGCCCAGGCTCGTATCAGCTTAATAATTCTTTTGCACAATTCCAATGTGTTGGTGACTGTAACAGCTACGAGTAATTCGGATGAAAATCATGTCAAGCGGTAATGAGTACCCTCTGTTGAATTTTACTCTCCCTACGTTTTCGTTGAGCTTAATAAATACAATAAGCTACCTGGAAGATATAACAGCCTGGTAGCGCAAACGGGTAGCGCGTCTCCTCAGCATCATGTTAAGTGCCATGACTTTCGGAGAAGGTTCATGTTCGAAACATGACCAGGCTTAAGCGTTTTCTTAGTGTAGTGACGCGTGTGTACTTTAATTTCAAAAATAAACTGGTCCGAGCCACCGTTAACTTTCAATCGCACGAACTCAGTTATAAATGATAGATAAATCCTAGACCACATTTAAAATTCCCGTGTAAGCCTGGCCCTCACATAACTTGCTCGAGCCAGACTCACCACCGACGCACGCACGCGCCGTCCTTATCCGGCACCAATGCGCCTCCTTTACATTTACTCGGCTACGAAACCCTACGGTTCCGCCCGTCCCTTTCTCCGCTCTTTCACTATAAAAGGCTGCGCTCTTCGCCTTCGTTGCTTCATTCTTACTACTGGCAACTAAGGTGCGTATTTACATCCTATCTACAACATGTATATTTCATTCTTACTACTGGCAACGAAGATACCTTCATCCTGTCATTCTCGTTTGATTCAGTGAGGCTGCCGGGACACGACAGCCTTTCATCCCGCCTCTTTTGCTGTTACTACAATAATAGTAGTGATAAATGAATATTCAGGTGCCAGGCTTAACAGGTTCGCTTAAATAGAACACTGCACCTATAGAAAATAAGGCCTGGTAGCGCATCTGAAAGCGCGTCTGACACTCTTGCATACGTGTGATCAGTGTTTAGAGAGTCCTTGTTCGAATCAAGGTCAGACCACTTATTACTTGAACAAGGGACACATTTTATACCATATGCTCCAATAATGTGCGAGAGGCCAGAGAGGAAGGACCCTTCCCCGCACCACGTTACTTCAAATAAGCTTTAGATTTTTAACTCTCCTTAACCCTGCCCCCTTCGAATTCTTGATATTTGTATTCCAAAAATAGAATCTTCTCTTGCTCTTCCCCGAAATTTTAGCGACGGTTCCTGAGCACGCGACCTCCTGCTTTCCATTATGTCTTCCCCTTCCGATACTTCCTTCCATTCCTAACTTCACTTAGCCGACGACAGGGGGTAAAATTTCAAAACTCACTACGGTTCTACAAATAATTTGCAATAGTATTTGAATTGATGGAAATGGAAGAAATCCCAAAGATGTAAAGTACAATTTGGATGGATGTGTATGAACAGGAGCAGACGCGGTATGAAAAGGGAAGGCAGGGAAGAACTATGGACGTACGGAAGCTGGTTGAATAGTGGCAAATAGGTAGTTAGGTATCAGATGAATACTTGTACACGGTACGAGCAGGATGAAGTGCAAGGAGAAGACTGAGAAGAGAGTCGCAGAGAAAGGGGCAGAGAAAGATGGGGGAGACATGGGAGAGGAGGATTTTGGATAAACAACACAACGATGAAAAGAACAGGAAAAGACGATAAAATCCATTAGAAACCACAAAGATAGAGACACAGTAGCAGCTCTCTTTCCCACTTCATCCCAACATTAGACTTCTACATCCCGCTCACATCTGCCGCTCTCATTCACCCAAGCTCTGATTCCCAATCGTTCGCTTTGCATCCAACTCAAGCCGTCTTCCCATCCATTCCCTGCTCCACCAACTCGCCCACCCACCGCTCAAACCTCTCCTGATCCATCGTGCCCTGCTCATCAAAGAACGCGGTGTATGGCTGCGCGCTGCGTGTCTTGCCTTTTGCGAGCAGCGACTTGCCGCCGTTCGTTGAGCGGACGTAGGAGAGCGAGAGGGAGTAGGCGGGGGTTGTTAGGGAGGGTGATAATGAGGAGGTTGATACTGATGATGTAGATTGGGAAGCAGAAGTAGAGGAATTGGAAGGGGAGAGCACAGAGAGAGGGGAGGAGAGGGTTGCGAGTAGGGGAGATGTGCTTTTGATGGGGAGGGTGCGCGAGGAGAGGGTTATTCGTTCGGTTATTATCTACGCACGCAACTTAGTAAAGGATTAGGATCAGAGAGAAATAGAGTTAACTCACCCGCTTAGAAAATGTCTTCCTTTTCCCAACAAACACCGTCTCACCCTCGATAAAGTAAGCGTAGAGCGTCTGGACAAGCGTGAGGAAGATGTATCTATTTTACATTCATTTTGTTGTCAGTCGTCATTCGGATGATTCTGAGCGAGTAGACAACATACAAAGCGAGACCCGCCCATACGACTGGCTTGGACTTCTCAAAGTCAACTTTGTAGCCGTAAAGCGCGGTGCCGCCAGCGGTGAATACACTCAGCCAGCCCAGACCGAGGCGCACGTCAGTGTGTAGGTAGATTTGCTTGAATAGGTCTGGTCGTGAGAGGTACTAGCCGTATCGCACCATGTCAACACAATCGTCTGTAGTATAATGGGAGTGAGACTCACGCGTTTGACTGCATCGTCGCAAGCATTTTTTAGCTCTGTCAGGCTAGCATTGTTCACTTTAACGACATCTCTATCTTCAGGTGAGACGACGATGCTAAGAGGGCCTGCTGGGCGGTCGGTGTCGCTCGGACTGGGGCTGGGCGTGCGGCCCTTGAAGACGGCCTGCGATTTGGTGCGTGCCATTTGCGCGGTTGGGGTGGCGATTGTTGGGCGTTACGTTAGAATGCTTGCGTGTAGGGCGAGGGCGTGAACAGTAGCGATGACGGGCAGGAGACTGGGGGCGTCGGGGACAGGAGGGGCGACGAGGACGTGGGGAAGGCGGGGGAGAGCCTGGGGAAAGAGGCTGATGAGGGTCTGAAGAGTGAGTGGGATTCGAATTCTGTGTGCCGCTGTTTCGCGACGTGTCCTCTCGTGTCGTTCCGTGCCACGTGGGAATTATCATATATTCCCTTTTCAGGAATGCCGCGTTCTTTCAACAAGCGCCCAGCACCCGCGTTCTAAGCAGCCCCTCTTTGACTTGGACGAGGTGCTCAACAGTCTATTCACGCGACGCTCAGCTACTCTCTTGTATTATTATGGCTTAATATCTGGATGAATCACCCTAATACTCAGTATTATCACTCAACAACCTTGTATCATATGACGGGACGCCTGAAAAATGGAAGTTCCCGTGGGTTTGTCGCCCAACAATGAACATACCTATCCAAATATCAAGTACTTGACAGCGGATGGCCGTATATACTCTGGCTCTCTGGCTCTTACGCATCACCCTCTCCACCCATATCCTACCCTACGATAAAGAAACCGGAGTATCCCACTTGCTATAGCCTATTCAAATCCAGGCCCCTGACTGCAACCTGGGATTTGAACACCGAGTAATGGGCACACGACCTCGCGCAATTGTTGTGACGAGTCCCTCCGAACTTTTTTGAGCAATTAAAGGCGGGTTATGGCCATTCAAGTCGTGCAGGGATTTACACCCGACTGGAGTTGTTATCCTATTCGGCACGACCCGATGCTTGTGTTATCGTCGGTGCTTGAACTGTAGCAAGTTATGCATCAAATCATATCTCAGAAGCAATGCGAGAGGGAACGCATCAAGTTTCTCGTAGCTTGCATATGAATATACAGTATCTTTCACCCTCGTTTTCGTTCCTGGAAGTCTGACGTTCAACAACGCTCATCTAATGATGGCTATCTCTTGCAATGGAATTCAATACGAGAGCAGTAGTATCCCATCGCACTATTATTATAACCACCAACACCACTATGGCAGTCCAGACTTTCCATACCGTAAGGTTCCGCCCAGCTGTGAACACCATGTACAGATATAGTTTCCACCGCGTTGCTCTTTCTCTTTGTGTTCGCCTGTTAAATCATCTTCGCGTCATTCTATCGTCACATCAATCTCTTAGCATTCGTTCGAACATCCACAAAACGCCTCGTTGCGCGGCCTTTCGGCGACGAGAGATTTAACTTGTGACGACCGCCAGTGCCCATCATACTCGTGGGCATCATACGCCTGGAACAGAAACAACTACAACAATCACACGACCGCCCAGAACGGAGATTCCATTGAGCCAGTCTTCAAGCTAGTCGAGTTCTGGCGCGTTCAAACGTAACGTAGGCTTCCACCTTGTATTCTCTACCACATACACTAAGTGCAAACGAAACCTTTGTACCACCAACCAAGCATGCTTCTAATTGCTTATCGCACTATTCAAGTTCAGATTTCTACGCCATGGCTTCCACTCTTTGGGACTGGTCAATGTTACAACATCGACGCGTCATTCCTTCATCACCGCTGTCCCTTAGGCTTCGCTCCACCAACCAGAGGAGGCCGCAGTTCCTTGTGTTGATCCTCCCGCATGGTCCTTTTCCACTTCTGGACAGATATAACAGCATAGTGGCGCTCGGACTTTGCCAGTTGTATTGTCACAGAAAGAGTGCTTATGACCATTGTATGGAGGCTTCACATCCACTTTGACGTGTTCTATGTTTATATTTATCATTCTACCAGGCACCACTCCGATATTGTATCCTGCTATTGCTAGCCCAACCTGATTGTCGGAAAGGACCTACGGGACGATGATTGTGGAGAATGAATCTCCTCATCTTCTCGAAAAGGCATACTTCATCACTGCCTTCACGCCCAGTTCATCAGCCATCTCCGAAACCAGCCCCGGATGCTTTTGGAACTTCCTCCCACCCAAAATACTTCTGCATGTTCTTTCTTCGCTGCGTCTTCCGCTATTTACACGTTGTGCAGCAGGCCTATTGCTCTTACTAGGGTGAAGTATCCTAGGCTAATTTGATAGGACGAGCGAAGGGAGCAATTTTCCGTGGTTTTAAGACATGGTTAAGTACACTATTCGGGTTAATCGTGGGTGAATATTATACGCGACATGTTCTTGTACTTGATACTCGCGCCTGCTCAATCATCATTTTGCGCCACCTAGCTTCCATTGGGAGAAAACCTATTTCGACCTTTCAAGATATATGTAAGTGCATGAGAGGGAATTGGTCGCTTTGATTACTATCTCTGATAGTAAGTGCCGCTGATGGGTAGCAAGAAATATCTACTCCAATGTGCATTATAGGTTATAGCGTACAAATACATATTCTTTGCAATCAAGGTTCAACAATTTAACCTATACTGCAATGTGGCCAATACTCTCCCAGTACTTCAAATATTTCTCAATATCACCCTCATCCAACGGGGCAGCCCGATCCAAAGTACTAGACATCACTCTTGCTTCGTCGATAGCGACATTGACTCCTGCCCCAAAGCTCCCATGCTGGAAGAAATCCAGCAATGTGAATGCAACCTCATTCTCCAAGCTCGGGGCGCTAGCTTCGCGGATGGTGGCATTCAGGTTCTCAATCCACTCTTCGTATAGGATGAATTGCAACCCGAGACGATCTGCGAAGGCTTTGAAGACTAGGTTCCAGGACACAGGACGTGGATGATTCAGGTGTAATATCGAAGCCCTTTCGTTCGCTACTGGTAAAAGGTCGAGCAGAGCGGCGGCGGCTGTGTCAACGGGGAGCCATGCAACATCCTACATCAAAGTCAATTCATACCGATACATATGCACTCTGCCAGAAGAATACTTACCTCCTCTCGCAATGGGAGTGATCCCAATATCCTTCCCATTTGGACTAAGAGTGGTACCCATTCCTTTGGACCCCACCCTCCAATTGCTGTGTCTCCGCTCAGCTGGCCAACGCGAACAACAAGCGTCCGTAGTCCACACTCGGAAGAAATTCTCGCACAGATCTTCTCGGCGACCCATTTGCTCTCGCTATATCCGCCCCCTACAGCACTAGAAGCTTCGATGGAGGCCTCTTTTGCTGGAGTAACCAAAGGATGGTCTGTATAGTTTATTTTATG